ACCCCGCCCCTGCCCACTATAAATCTGATTAATTAGGGCATTACAGGCCTAGTCTAATATTATACATTATTCATTTATTTACACTAGGCCTACATCAATATCATTAATTACATCAATTTACACTTCTTTTCTGGCATCTGTTTAGTTTAATATTGTATTCAATAATAGTAGTAGCTCTTTTACCGCTGAGAGAAGAGCGGAATTTGGATGCAGTTCATGGAAGTCTAGCAAGTCTGTAAAAATAAAAATAATGAAAATATTATCTCAAAATGTATGTATGTAATCTAATCTAATTTATTTTATTCTTGTGAAAATATCGAGACTTGTCTAGGCGTATGTAGTTTGACTTCAAAAACCTTAACTGAGGTCTAGACCTAGGGCAGTACAGGAAAAAATTACTCGAGGTGTTTAAGGCTTGGCTAGGCTCAGGTAGGCTAGCGACAAGCGCAGGCCTCTACAACCATCCGTTTCAAAGCCTACAAAAATGAATATAAACGTATGGTTTTTATCACAATCATATAAAACTGTTTAAAAAGAAGTCAACACACCTTTAAATATCTTTCAACTTTGGCCATTCCACCGTTCTTTACTGATATTACATGCAGCATAACAACATAGACCTCCATGCTTTCAAATAGTATACTTTGCTGAGTTCAGTTCGTTGACCTTGATGGTGCGCCACCAGTGGCAAACGTACTTCTTGTGAATTAAAGTAAATATGAATGTTTGCGTTTCTTCGCTGGAGCCATATTTTTACTTCTTATTTTCGTCTATCAATTAATAATTGTGTGATTATTTTCATGAAACAGCTCGATAAAACTAACTTTATGCATAGAGTTAGCAGTAGGCCTGTGGTTGTATTATCAAATCACACTACAGGCATGGTGGTGAGGCCTGTCATTGCCAGTTTCTGTGTTTTCAGAAATTAATTGCAAATGCATTATAACAAGGCAATTCAACAGAAGGACGCACATCTCGGGACATCAAAGATTATAACTCTGGCATCGACATTCTAGGCGCATGTGCGTCCCTACACGCTGAACGTCACAAAACCATAGCAACCAGACCATAAACCGTCAGCGTACGTGACGAATTACTCACACACGTGTTTAGTTGCCATGATAATCGCGCGTCGTGCGGTGATTACAAAGCCTAATGATATTTTGCACTAACATTAGACTGAAATTATATTCTTCATTTCAACATTAATTTTACCAAAATTGTGGTGAATTATCGTTCATGAGACTTACTTCGCAGAAAAAATTAATAAATGTTCTGTATATACTCAAATGTTCGTTTTCGGCACCTTATGCCAACATTGTCAAAATGGCAGATTAATGTTACATAAGAACATAACGCGCGTGTACATACATACGTGTGTGTATATATATACGCATGTACATTATACGTATATATATACATGTATATATATATTATGTATATATACATGTGTATATATACACGTGTATATATATGTATACGTGTATATATATATATACGTGCTGTCTCTTATACACATCTAGATGTGTATAAGAGACAGTATGTAGTGTCAACAAAGTATATTTGGTTGTGACATCATCTGTCTAATGATGTACGGTAGTACACTGATGTTGGTTGGAGCTCTGCCTGCTCCACTTGTGTTTATAATGAATTACTGAACATGATAGGAGCAGGCAGGCTCTACATTATCTGACATCTGTCATCATCGACTAATGACAATCAGGATGAAATGACAAGACAGTCAGTTGACAAAGATTGCTGAATGTGATTGAAATGTCCAGGTAAATGTTGATGTTATTTTGGTTGAATCATAAATGAAAGTTTAACAACAAATTCAAACTTGCAGCTAAATTGTAATCATTTTCTTTAATTTGTGCTTTTGCACAATTTATTTATTTCTTGAATTATTTTATTTGATTTCGTTAATATCCAACAATGAACAATGTCACCCTTTACAGGATTAAAGAATAAAATACTATATTTTTAGTTATTCACATTTAAATATTTGACATTTAAACAAATAGCCAATATTAAACAAGACAAGAAAATAAATATCACTAACATTAAAATTTTGATGGAAACATAGTAAATATTCACAAAAAATCAATTTTACATAAATTACGTAACTTACAGATGGTCACTAAACCCATAAAGACTTACAAATGTAGGTATTTGGATTCCCAGTAAAAAGTGAGCTGCATCTATAATGATCTTCCTTTCCTTTTCAAATTGTTCAGTCTGAAACAATGTCAAAAGTTTACACACTTAGGTTACTTGTATTTTCAAGCATGAAATGGCCAGATACAAAATCTTTTGTCTTTATTATTCTGATTAGAGATCAAAGCTGCTATAGACATGGAAACTATGGTCCCAAAAGTGGAGACCTGTATTTAGCATGTTCATTGATGTAAATTTTACATTGTTTTAAAAAATGAAACTATACATAAAATCCCATAATATAAGATTTAATTTAATGTTTTAATGGCCTTTAGAAAGATACAAAAACTGTTTTCACTTGGCAATCCAGATAGGAATTACCTTGTGTAAAATTAAGAAATGGATAAGCAAACAAAAAACAGGCGTCAACGTTCCTATGCATGATACATGGCTTAAAAAGTATATAGGCCCTATATATATACGTGTATATATATATATATACGTACATATATATACACGTATATATACACGTTTATATATATACGCGCGCGCGTATATATATACGTGTATATATACATGTATATATATATACGTATATATATATATATATAAGTATAAATAAAATATAAGTATAAATAAAATAAATATAAATAAAATATATAAATATAAATAAATA